AACAAGTGGGTTGGTGATGTCACAAGAGTAGAGCATATCAGCACAGCAATGGATTCGTTGGAACAGGTCCATTCAATACAGTAAGCTCCTGTACAGATTGAGTTCCTGATATTTTTGCTGTATTTTCCAAAGGTCGCTACAGACAAGGCAAAGTGGTGCTGCCACTTATACCGAACCCACGTTCCAAAATCCAATTGTTGTAACATGTTTCTAAACAGTGTTGTTCGGAAGTCACTTTTCAACACGATTTTGAGAACCTTCGGGATCACTAACTTGGGCGAGAGTCCAGCAGGAGCTACACAACACAAAAGCCTGTGACATCAACCCGAAGTTGACCTTCAGTTGTATGATCACTATTTCTATCCTGGATCAGACGATTTGTTGACAGTAGCAGTAATGAGCATCCGGAGATCAGAGCTTGTAAAAAAACGAGAGGAAGAAATGAAGTGGGAATATGTGTTTGCTTGCAGATATTTCATGCTTTCCGACTTAAACTCTCGCATTATCGGCCAAAAAGCAGATGGCGCAATGTCAGTCGCCATCTCTGGTGAATCTAGTGTACAATATGGGTTTTGTCTGCATATGGCTGTTTGTGCAGCACAGTACCGGTTGGTCGATCGCATGGAAAAAAGGGAGGTTCATAATGTGCACTTACTGCGGAGCCTGAGAAGTCGTCCTGATTGAGAACAGGATCTGTGTGAACTGCCACCACCGGTGTGATCATACACTCGCAGCTGGCAGCTGGCCATCAACCTGGCCAGGCTACGCAGAACATGATTCAGTACGGCCATGAAAATTCAAACATTTGATTGTAAATAATCCACTATGTTCAAATTATATTCGTGCCACATTTCTTCTTTATTTTTTCTCATGCCAAATAATATCTCACATTCTCCATCTTCCAATCTCAATCCACAATTTTACTAAAACCTTCCAAATGTTTTGGTTATACTACCTCTCTTATAACAAACTTGTAATACCAAAATGAGTAGATCTCTCTCCTCCTCCTCCTCCCCTCTCCCTTCCTTCTAGCATTGATCACAAATGACAACCTTTGCACTATGCAAACATTGACTGCTTGTCTATGTCGACTCGATCCAACAACCACCCCATAGTACTAAATTGGATCAATATCTAACTGGCCACAACAACTTAGGTCAATGTCTATTTGGCCATGCTGACGTAGGTCAATGTCCAACTTGCTATGGGACCCTCTTATAATGCCAAATCTACATGTGGTTCCTTTGCAACGCCTATCACAACCTCCATTTTGGCTTAGAATCTTCCTAAAATATTAATATTAGTATTTAAAAAATTATCAACATTATTAACATCATCTAGATATGTTTCCACATTCTATGCAAGAATAAAGGCATTTAATTGTTCAAATAGTCTTCTTGACACTCTTACTAATCATACCATAGACAACTTGACTTAGAGGGCTAGACAAGCTTGGTATAGAAATACTTACTATTCTTGCAAATCTTGGCATTACACTTCTTTCATGCATGTGACTATTTTATGTAGAGCTACTTTGCATACAACCAAAAGTAAGGATTTTTGCTCGAGCATCTTACAAGTATGTTCTTTTGATAAAGTATTCCACTTAAGCACCTTGTAGGTGCACTCTTCCATGATAGCTTCTTATTGTATAGGCTTACAAGCTTGTTCTTCTCCCATTGAAACTTAGTAAGCTTCTCTTAAAATCCTTTTCTCTTCCAAATCTACTAATCTTCTATATTTTGATTCTTCATATCAAATTTGTGTTCTTTTCTTCTCTCTTTCTTATTCAAGTTTTTAATCTTATATTTGTTGCATAATACTCATATATACCTCTCAGGTTAGTATTAATGTTTTAGAAAAATCTACTATAAGATTCACATTCCATCTCCTAGAGTTGGGTATATTTGTAATAGTAGGTAGTATTAGAAATCAAGTTATAGATTTTGAATTAAACCATGCAAGGTCTAATTTGTCAACTTCTTCTGCCAACTTCAAATTTAATATGTTTGCATCAACAAAAAATATTTAGTAGTAGAATTTGAAGCCAGTTTTAATTCCACTGCAATGTCATGAATCAATAAAGTAGGTAATTCTTTAAAAATTGACTCCATGCTATCAATTTCATTCTTTGAAGAATTTTCAATTACATTATTTTTACCTTGTCCAACTTCTATAAATTACATGTAAGTTTGATTTGGATCCATAAAATTGCCCATTGAGTTCTATCAAGTAGAAAAATATCGATAGGGCTAAAACCTTTAATGATATTATTTGTTGTCAAAGCACATTTTAAGCTTAAGGACATCCAATGTATAAGAGTTTATTTTTGGATATATTAATTTAGGTTTCTAGAAACCTAATAATTCCAATATCCTTTGAAATATGTCTTGAAAGGTCTAAATATACATATATCTAAAGACTATATGGCATGCGATATAAGAGATGGTAGGATTAGAATATTTAGTCTTACATTGTATGCTAGTCTTACCACTTCAATAGTAACATAGCTTATATGTCCATCAAAAATTAGTAGATACTTCTAAGTAGGAGAAATGCCACCAAGTTGTTCCATGCTCTTAATAAAATAAGAAATCTACACAAAAAAAAAAAAACAACTTGTCATCCAAGCCTTAGATTGCATTGCCATAGTTGCATCTAGCTTCCAATGCTATATGTTATTTTGTCAAAAATGTTTATGTTGAAAAATATAAAAAGAAAATATGCAAATCTGCATTGCATTGATGTAAATTGACACTAATAGCAATTTTTTTTTTTTTTAATTTGGAATGGTCAGATATATCCAACAAGCACTTCTTTAAGCTATGATAAGCATACCACCATTTTTTCCTACACATATATTAGATTTATCACAATTTTACACCTTTTTTTTGGAGAATATCCATGCAATGTATATAACTCACTTAGATTATCATAGAAGCTTTGTATATTTTCTTTGGATAGTATCTTTGCACTAAAAGACACAAGAGCTTGTACCATTCTCACTATGAGCTTTGGATGATGTTTTTTAAACCACATCAATCATCCATTACCTAAAATTCTATTCTAAAATGGAGTTCTTTGAACCATAGTTACTTCAAAAACCTTCATTTTCAAAGTTGTAGGTAAGAAACTTACGCCCCTATCACATATGGCTAAAATATACTTCACAAGCTCACTTTATCCTTTTATAGTTAGAACCCTTTTAACTCCTCCTTTTCTAAAAGATCACATTTCATAATACCACTTCATAAAAATTGTGTATAAAATATCATAGTTTATTATTATTTTTTTGATGCTTCTATGCTCATCATACTTTGTTAATGCAACACTCATTTTCTCATTACTCCATAAAGAATTTTTTTCTTATATTTGACAATGCCGCTTATACATTGCCTTGATGATAGTAATTGTAATGCTGATTGTTGATATGTTGCAAAATTATTTGATTGCCTATGATGTCCTCCATGTCAAGGTTGCTAAAGAGCAACACCTTACTCTCCATCCTTACCCTTGTCCTCTTTATAAATCCACTTGAATTGACTCTTTTCTTGCCTTGATAGCCTATTCTTTATCTCCTTCTAACCATATTGCCTTAACCTTCTATTAACTTCACCACCCCATAAAATTCTTCTAATTTGTGAATGTAAAATTTCAAGACCTTTATAATTATCAACTTTAGTCCAAATAGGAGAGTTTGACTCACTTGCACTACTATATTGATTATATTTATTAGTATTGGAGTTGATTTCCAATAGCTCACTAAGACTTGGTAATTTATTATTTGCTCGTACCATAATGTTGATTTCAACCTATGAAAATCATATATTTTGGATTAAGATCATCTAAAAAAGTCAAATAAGTATGTATTATACAAGTTAAATAATTATTCATTCAACAAGTAAAATGATTCTACATTAATGAGCTAATTACTTAAGTATTATATAAGTAAAATAATTATATGTTAAACAAGTCAATTACTTGGGCATTATACAAGTAAAATAATTATATATTAAATAAGTCAATTACTTAGGCATTATACAAATAAAATAATTATACACTAAACAAGTCAATTACTTAGATCAATTAATTATGCATTAAAAAATGAAAATAAAATCAATAAAATAAAGTGATATTATTTATTCTAAAATTTTATTATTAAAATCTAATTTAAACTTAAAATTAATAATAGGTATTGAAAAAAAAAACTGCAATAACGTTTTTAACAGTAGTCCAAAAAACTATCATTCAAATTGATATTTAAATTATAATTAAGAATAAAATTAATAAAAAAATTAAAATTTTATTCTTAAAAAAATTCAAAAAAAATTACATTCAAATTAAACATTCACATTACCATAAAAATAACATTTGAACTTAACATTAATAATAAATGAGAAAAAAATTAAGAAATGTCTTTAACAGTTGCAAAAAAAAAAAAAAAAAAACAAACAAACAAACAAACAAATAAAAATAAGCATTGAAATCATCATTTGAATTAGAATTAACAACAAATTGAATAAGAAAATTGAATTTCTATTTTTTAAAGTATTCAAAAAAATTAACATTCATATTGCACATGATAATTACCATAAAAATTACATTTAAATTAAACAGTAATAATAATTGTGGAGAAAGAAAAAATTAAATTGAAGAACTGTCTTTTACAATTGTCCAAAAAATTCATTCAAATTAATATTAAAATTTGGTAACCCAAAGTATATGCTTAAAGCTTTTCAGTTTTTATTGGAATCCCATTTTGAGCTTAACATGGCAGAAAGCAACAATCCAAGTTGATTCACATTATGCAAAAGCGCAGCACACACACACATTGAAAGTGTTCCAATCGATTTGAGCAATTTGGTCAAAGGAAAAACGTTCAACAAAAAAAATGAAATCCATGGGCATTTTGTACATGAATCAAAACTTCAAATATAATGAATATAATTGAGTAGAATAGTTCAAAATGCTTTACGTATGGCAAGTTTTCTAACTTCACATGTTTTCAATGGGGGAACTAGTATATTTTCGCACTCAAATTGTCGAGGAATTTTTTACAAGAACAAAGTGTACATTTTGTCAAAGATTGATGCTTTGGACTGATTGTGTAAATTGCGGCGACGAATTCTTAGCACATTATTCATCACCCCACTCACATCGCGTCACACTCACCCTCCGTCATTCCCTCCGCTGTATTCTACCTGGCGAGCATTCATGCGTTCATTCGCTAACTTGCAAATTCAAAAATGCACCCAAAGTATTCTCTCTTGTACCTCGATCAAAGCCAGATGACTTGGTGCGAGAATCTGCTCTCCCTGCTGTTCGACTTTGTCAATGTGGGCTTTCGTGACAGTGCTAAATTTGCCCTCCGAAATGGTGTGGCCTATGGTGCAAACACGAGCATTCACAGCAGCTAAGCTCCTCGGGTCGGAAGCTGCTTGGTCAACTTTGCTGATCACACCAACGGTCCTTGCAGTGGGAGCCGCTGGTTGATTATTATGTGTTGGTGAGGACAGTTCATCTGGTAGCGTGCTCTGGTTTGGGGATGATTCATTGGGCGAAGGTCCTCTCGTATTGCTGGGTTTTTTGCCCCCGAGAGAGTTGTGCAGTCATGAATCAAGTGTGCCGCCGAAAGACAGTAACGGCATCAGATGGGCAGATGGTTGTAATCGACTTGGATGCGTGCCGCTTTCCCCGTTACTGGATTTATTGCTCCAATGGTGAGTGCGTGTGGACTCCCGTTCGTTAGCGCTACACAGAATTTTTGGTCCGCACTTCTACGGTTTCCTCTGTCTCTTCCCAATACCCGGCCAAGACTCTGGGCTATGTCTCTAACACTGCTTACCATTTCATCTGGCACAGCTTTGAGCGTGATCCAGGTTGGCATTTTCATGCCGACCTGACGATTGGATACGATGTCCGCTACCTACGATTGGATGATGCAGGGCCCCCATTGTGGGATATGGAGGGTCCGCATCAACACCTTCTGTGTTCCTGCTATGTATTTGCTTATGAGCTGGAAAAAGCCGTGCCCTAGGTCTCTCCCTAGAAGTAAATCCTCATGTATCTCTGTTTTCAGGTGATCGAGACATGCTCGCAGCGTTTTTGTGGGAGGCCTGCCACTCACGAAATACGCAATTACCATGCATCCCTGGAGGTATTCCATCTCTTTCTGAACTTTTTCTATATCTAGTTGGACTTCGACGACTTTGGTGCACGGTAAAAACCCGGTGCAGCTGCGAGATAAACCATCAGGCAGTTTCTCTCCCAGGCATAGCGTGAATTGGGTTGATGGCCGCAAACTTACCTAGATTAGCTGTCGCAGCAATCACCTCCGGTTTCACCTGGTCGTCCTTTCGTGCCTGTTACGCCGTGCGACCTGCCTCAGACACTGTGGGAGCCACCGTCGCGTCTGCCGAGCCATCTTCCTGAGCACGTCCGCACACAACGCCCTGAACGGTTTTGGTCCCACAAACCCACTTCGTGCTAATTGTGGTGTTAGCCGCCAAACCCTTGTTTAGAACCCTAATGCGAACCACTGTTCCACCACACTGGTTTCACTCCCATTAAAGATCCGAAGGCGGGGAGGGATAAGCCGAGTAAATACAGCATGTATTAACTACTGCGGCGACTCTCGGTGTTCTTTCGCAGCGCGACAGGAGCTCCAGAGCGTCATCGTGTTCCCCCAAGACTTTTCTCCACAAAGTATGTTTTGATAACCTCGGCCAGAACAAGCTGGTTAGCAGAATGTGTCACTTGGGTTCCTGGTGATTGAAATATCTGTGGGAGCGATTTATGATTCCCCGAAAGGAGCGCCGAACCACACAGATGACTCGTGACGTGTTTGAAGTATATGGAATGACCGATAAGGCTGAATGGAAGCTTGTTAATGCCTTGTGATCTAGTTGCAAGCACGTGCGAAAAGCTTTAAGGTTCAATTTGAGCTTCTATGCTGATCTTGAAGAAACCTTCAACTTTTGATCGTGTTGAAGATTTGTAGAATTACTTCGCATAGTTCTCCACTGGGTAGCGACAATCTTAGTGACAAACCTAATTCGAAGTTACAACATCCTCTGATGATCCATGTCCATGCATCCTCTGATGATCCATGTCCATGCATTTTCACTCCCGGGGTTGTTCTCCATGTATGAACTCACGGCAGGTTTACGTCGTTCAGTCGATGGTATATACTGCACAACCAAAACCAACAAAGTTACGAAGTTGTCGTACAGCCAATAATTATGGTCAATGAGCACCACCCAATACAAAAACACACATCTATATGTGTATGTGTAAAATGCATATATATATATATATATATATATGTGTGTGTGTGTGTGTGTGTAGAATTATTGCACCAAGTGTGCAGTTGAAATGTATGTTTTTAAAGGTGCATTGAGGCTTACTGCCGCAATGAAAGCCACTGAGATTGGTGCGGCCACAGGCTTTGGGCATCGCCAGCACGTTTTTGATGAAGTTCGGGGAGAAGTTGGAGTTAACGTACTCGGAGCAGAGGCAGCTAGGGTTTGCCTCCATCACGGCGATGCAGCAGGTGTGATCAGGCTCGGGAGGGTAAGGGCCCTTGACAGTTTGCAAGCAGGGCATGAGTGCCTTCACGCTACAAGGGTGCTGCTGGCCTTCCCCATGTGCAGACGTGGACACCATCGCCAACAGCAGCACTGCACTTATCAAACTCATCGACGCCACGGAAGTACAGCATTGCTTCAACCCGATCTCCATGGCGTCTGATCACAATCACAATCACTCAGGCTCCTGGCAGGGACTCCCCGCCTCTGACACCACTGACAAGACGCTGCTACACGATTTCTTTCAGAAAATTCTGACGTAGGTGCAGGAAATTGCGATGGAGGAGGGAATGGTGTCGGAAGGGTCTTATAGGAAAGCGTGGCTCATGACTGGCGTGATGGAGAAATACTTGAGAACTAGATGTCACGGGCATTCAGTGCACCAGGATCGTACAACCAGCTGGAGAAACGATGTGTTCTCGAACTTCAATGTCTTGAGGATATGAGTCATCGAATTAGCTTTGGAAGAAAAGATATGCAGTTCAGATCTTGGAGAATGCTGTGGTGTTGAATGAATTCCCCATGATCTGAACTTGAGTACAACCCGATTGCTCCTACATCACCAAGGCATGGAAACAACAAAAGAAAAGAAAAGAAAACAATCGATTTTAGGAAACGACCAAGAGCGATAACTTAAGACGTGAGCCGCGCATCGAAACAAGTCGCGATTGGAACAACCTTCATGAGGAACTGGGAACAACGTGCATTCAGTGCATCTAACTTACGATAGATTAGTCTGAAATATTCTGAATTTTGACACGAAGTATGAAGAGAGCTGGCACCTGAATGCCCAAACTGACATGCAGGACAAACTGGTTGCAGTGCATTCAATTAGTAAGGGCCACAAGCATTATGAACCATCATAAAGAAGCTTGGTAATAATTCTTCCTAGAAACAAGGTCACCAACTATTCAGTGAGGGTCACAGTACAGATGCAACAAGTACCAACTGAACCACTTCACTTAGGTTTCATATATTACTGAATCAGCATCAATGGATTTCCTCAATTCAGCCGTTCTTCTATTTTCTTTGGGGGTGGTTTCGGTAAAAACTTGTTAGAATTAAATAGTATTGGGGTTGGCAGCCTCAGTTGACACCTCGCAATAAATTCACACGCATCATCTGTTCTTGTACCTCAACTACTGGTCAGACTTGTTGATGTACTGGCATACAAAGATACCAGCCTTCAGAAATGAATTTAACATAACAAATTGTCTTTAATTCTGGATCTCATGTCAATGACCCTCTGACGACAGTAAAGAAAACCGAGGGCCTTCTGTAACAACAGTTTACATGCAGCTACTCTGCATCATTAGACTGATAGTTGGCCGCAGTTAATTTCATTTAGAATGAGGTTAACTTGGATTTTACGAGGCCAATAACTTCAATGCCACTACATACTGCCCTGCCACGCTTACCAATTGTCTTCAGGACAGTGAGTAGTAGCAATGGAGTGGCAATGTCTGTAATCAGAAGAACTTTACTGCTGCTGTCTCCATTCGTTACTTCTCTCTGCCATATTCGTTTAAACAATATTGCGTCCAATAATATACTAGCTACCAAATCTTGGTGAAAATGTTTTAGATCATCGCCTCATCAATAGCCACGGTTGCTGAAAATCCAATTGTGAAAGGTCCAATGGCCGCGGATTCCTTGACCAGAATTTCGGGTTTTGTAAACCCAAAGCCTTCACTGCAGTTGTATTTACGGGTTCTCCAAGTTAAATCGAGATGAGGAAAATGTGTAAACCTTTTTTTTTTATTAGTGACTTGTTCGACTGCACCACTTGGTCAAACAAAATTATCAAAAACAAACTACAAGCAACTTTGATTCAATTCACCTAATTCCGGCTATATCTTACGTACCATGATAACAAAAATCGCTACTTCCTTAATGAGATGCTTGTAGAAAATTCCACAAGCTGTGCTTTTCCACACAATTACGACATAATTCTTTGATGTCCAGTCAATAGCTATACACCACCCTGTCCACCTGAAGACAGATCTACCTGTGTGGTAGCACCAATTTTTTACGAACCAGGGGTGATCAGCATCAATGCACCATCGTTGACGAATATTTACGCTTTACAGAATTATGTCCTTACTCAGTGCATGTCAATATGACATCAGGAACTGATAGACCGCGAGCACCCGGAAGGCCACAGAAGATCATTCACTCATTTTGTCCGTCACTAGAAAAACTCTGAAAGTCGCAGCCACCCCAAATCTACTGACAGACCGTACTCAAGCATCTGTGCATCTGCCAGTTTACACTCAATCAAACTGATATAAATTGTGCCACTCTACATCAACGTCCTCACATCACCAGTCAGCGATCTACTGAGCGTGAGATTTCGTGAGCTACCAGATCATTCGAAGGGATCCCAGACTCCAGAGATCGGCAATCGATCAGTATGAAGGGGGCGAAGCGCACTGTGCTTTTGAGCTTGCTTGTGGTCGTGGTGGCTTCCATGGTTGCACGCAATGTCGACGCAGCCTGCAGCCTGCAGCAAGTGGCTGGATGCCTGGATGCCGTGACCAAAGGAGCCACCCCCACTGGTTCATGCTGCACCCAGCTTGGACAGGTAGACGCCCCCTGTTTCTGCAACTTGCTTGCGAATGGCAAATACTCCGACGCCTACGTCAACAACGCCCTTCATGTGCCGGCGAGATGCGGAAGTAATTCTGCCGCCTATGCCAAATTTAAGGGCCGGAACTGCGCGGGTAAGATTCCGAAATACTGAGGTTCCATGACTCCGTCGCTATGAGCTTTCCATCGTGAAACCTTTAAACTATCTAGAGGCTAAATCTAGATGTGCCGCACAAGCAGCTCAAATAGATGATACTGATGGGTACTTGGGTGTTTTGTGATGGGACTGCAGGTTACGTCGTTCCTTGAAACAACTCCTCATAGACTTTCACTTTGATCGATCGCCATCTCGGCGACGACATGGTTTCACTGAGACATGGGTTTTAATCTAGTAAGAAGAGTGGTACGTATAGCATTCTTCAGGGGTTGAAGGGTTTAGTGGCTGCAGACAGTCTTGAAGTTGCTATAGCAACCATAACACGAATTTCCTGATGAGCAGGACATACTTGTGATGACATTCAGTTGTATGTGATGATGACCTGAATGCCGAGGTCTCTTGCACCTCAGTTTCAGGCATTGGAAACTCAACACTGATTTTCCTAAGTCCATATCTCCTTTGAAAAAACTCCGCACAACTTGTGGGTTGGTTTGCGTTCATCGAGCTGGGCGTTTTTCAACCTCATCTAATTGTTACAACCTCGTAAGTCTTTGATTTGTGGCGCCTGTGAACCTCCTTCTCCTCATTCCAACACTTCTGCTCGTACTTCATAAGCATTTGATATCATTCGTTCAGGCTGCTAAGCTTCGGTGCACAGCTTGCTTTGCTATTAGTACTACTCATTAAGTAGATGGTTGAAGCAGGATTGTTCTAATTGACTTTTGATACACTGACTGACTTTTATTCCACCGTTCTAAAGGGTCTGAAGTCGACAGACACAGTTGAATATATCTACTGTCTCATATATTCATGAATATATGAGACAGTAGATAATAGAACAGACAAGTTAATCCTTGACAGTATCTATATAGGAGTGAATATAGATATGTGAGATAGATATTGTCTTTGAAGTTCATCTTACAGTTGAAATATTGAGTTGTGAACAATGGAAGCAGCCACTTTTAGAGATAAGAGTATACCTTGTGAGAAAATAAGAGTTGAAGTGCTGCACAAAGAAGGCGAACCATCTTTGAATTATGTATCAGAATGGAGCGGACAATAAAAGTAAGATAGGTGGCCACTATAAAGTAGAAAATCAATTACGATGTATGCAGTAACTAACGCATTGAATCTGGAAGAACAGAACTTTTTGTGCAAAAGACTGAAATTGATCATTCATTGTCGTTTTATGTCTGTCAAAACGGTTCGGAAAAAATTAAAATAAGCTAAAAATAAAATAAACCCTGATTATATCAACTCAAATTAACTAAATAACGAATTTTTTTGAAAAATTAAGCATGCATATCTATAACACTGGAAACAACAGGATGTCTGTTGTTAGCGTGTTTATCTTTTAAATTAGAGAGATTATCTTTTTAAATATATAATTAAAAATTTATATATCATATCTTGATACTTCTTTAAGAATATATGATATTTTAAAAAGTAATTCTACAACTATACATTACGTGTTCCAATTAATTCAGGTTGTGACAAATTTTTTTAAAATTTAATTACTTGTTTAAGTTTCTTGTTGTAATGTTTTTTAGAAATTAAACTTTTTGGTAAACTGTTTATTTTCAAACAATATTTTCACCCAACATGACCAATAGCTCAAATGCGTAATTTTTATACATATATAATCCTGAAAGAAGAAAAAATGAAATAGAAAAAGAAATAAGAAAAATAAGAAATAAAAAGAAAAACACAAATGTGTAGAATGTTTCTAATTCTACCACAATTTTTGCTATTGACACCATAGGCTATCCAAAACTTATGTTGCAATGCAATTTAAGACAACTTGTGGTGGTATTGGCAAGAACTTGTAATAATAGTTATTAAATAAATTATTTGTTTACTTCTAATATTAATAACAATAATTTTATATACTATAAAAAAGTATATGAAAAAGTACAAACTAATCAAATCTTTTAATTATACTAGTTGATTTTACTAATTAAAAGCTAAAATAAAAATCTCAAATATAATATTCAAAATATTTAATTTTAAATAATAATATAAAAACTCATTCAAATATATATATTTTTAAAAAATATTTTTAAATCTTATAAGTATTATATATATATATATATATATATATATATATATATATATGCATACATCATCTTTAGTATTTTCAATATTTATTTGGAGTTTGATTCTTTATCTTACAAACTTTCATTTGCTTTAATAGCAATAATCAAATAATTCTTTTTTTTCTATTATGATTTTTAAGTTTAGAATTTTTCTTTTGATTTTTATCATCAAAGGTAATTTATAATTTAAAAAATAATTTAAGTTTAAAATTAATACATATATTTTAGCATAAAAAATCAAAACTAAGATTTTAAATATATTAATATAAGGTATAATTAATTTTTAAAACATCTATTAAACTTTTATAATATTATTTTATAAAATTATATACTTTTAAAAAATTAAGATAATTTTTTCATTACATAATTAGATATTATATAAAAATTAAAAACTTTTGTTTGTAATTATTAATCAAGCAAAGATGTTACTTTGTAATCTATTAGTCATGTGATCACTCTTTAACTTAATAACTACACTAAAATACTTCTAAAATCTAATAAATTTTTAATATATATATATATATATATATGTTTGTGTGCATATGCATATTTTTGAATGTATTAATATTGAATATATATATTGAATTTATAGGAGGTTGAATTGGAAAAAATAGTATCTAAAGTGAAAAGGTATACTAATTGAACAAACTAAAGTACTTCAAAACACCCAATAATGCAAGAAAAGTTGAAATTACTTAAAATTTTATTTGTAGGTCCAATTAACTAAATTAAACTCTTCTATATAAACAATAATATTTTAATACTTATTATGAAAAAATTAAAAATAATAATTATAATAAAATATTTTTTTTTTATATATTTTTAAATGTTTTGATTCTTAGTCATTATTAACTAATATTGGTTTTTAAGTCATGATAAACTTGGTAGGTATGCATTTGTTTTCTTTTTCAACAAAAATTTCACTAAATTTCAAGTGGTTTATTAATGATTTTTTAAAACTTAGAAAATAATATTAATAATCTGAATTAAATAATACTATTCAATTAAATATACACTTTTATATTTTATTAACATTAAAATTATTAAACTTTCTACTAATCAATATTTTTACAATAAATTTTAAATATTTTATGAATTTATGTCTTTAGGAGTAACATAAAAAATACTAATAATTCTAATATCCAAAAATTTCACTTTAAGGACTTATTTAACCATGTATAAATATGTGCAAAGAATATTTTTTAGTTTATGAGTCATAAATATGTACATAAATGCATTCCATTAATTGATAAAAATAATGTAATATTGATTGGCTAAGATAATTTTAATGTGTTAATAAATATGAATTCTAACTAATAAATAGAAAATAGTATACTTCATGGTTTGAAATTTATTTATTTATTTATTTTAGGGCATCAGATAGAATAATAGAAAATTTATAAAAAGATCAATAGTTTTAAATATAATGCCATTGTAGCTATAAGACTGGATAATTTTAATGTATGAATGGACTTTTTTATTTTGTTAATACCGACCCCAATCAACAATTAATGAATTTAAAACATTTTATAATAAGATAGAAATCAAAATCCTCTTAAAAAGCTTCTATGTAACTTAAATTTATGTAATAATTGATGAACAAAAAAGATATTCAGATTAACATAAAACTATATTTAGAGTATGTTATTTTTAATTTAATTTGATTTAATTCCCTCCTTTTATTTTTATTATCAATATTAATAAAGAAATCTATAATCTTTTAAAATATAATATTTTATTATTGAAAAAATTAGTACAGATTTTTAAAAGTAAGAATTTTATGAATTTATATTATTAAAATTAATTAATTGAGATATTTTATTGCTTAGTTGTTGATTTTTTATAGGTATATATTATATTAAAAATTATTTTTTTGTAAATATTAATTTAACAATCAATACAAAAGCTCTTATTAAATCTTTGATATTTGTAAAATCACTTCTAATTTGTAAGTAACTATATTTTTTCTTAATTAGGATCTTGCATCTTTTAATTCTTTATAATACTAAGATTTTTTTTTTTTTTAAATTAAATAACCTTCTCTTAAGAGAATTTGGTAAAATATTGGAATTTGAAGTCGACATGAGAACTTAAATTTAATTAGCAAAATTAAAATTTAAAAAATTCAAAATAACATGCAGTCCTAATAAGGTATTACAAATCATAGATTTAGATTAAAATTGATGATTTGTCAAAATTCTATTGTGACTCATATGTGACAAAAAGTAATTTTTTGAGAATCTATAAATTTTAAAAGTAAATTACAAATTTACTGTTTGAAGATTATAATTTTTTTAATAACATTATTTGAAAAAATACATCACATCTGTTTACATAGGTATTTTTAAAAAAATCATTACTTTCAACTTAAATAAACCTCAAAAATTCAAAATAAAGAGAGAAATAAAAATAATTTTTTTTTATAGATTTACATTTAATGTTTATTTAATGAAAGAAAAAACTGCAATATTGAAGACCTCAATTAATCAAAATAATAAAATATTAGGTATTATAATAATAAAATGAATTACAGTAAATAAAATTTTATTTTCACAGATTTTTAAAAAATTAAACAAGATGCGAAGGTAGAGACGTTTTAAAAGCAGCCTAAGAAATTATATGTGGTTTTAAAAAATTAAAGACGAATTTTTTAAGAGTATCTTAGAGAAAAAGAAGTTAGGTTGTAAAGTGCTATAAAAATACTATAATGGATTTTTTTCCCCAATAATTTTTAATAGTTATAATTTTAAAAAAAAAGATCATAAAATTGATTTATAATATAGAAAGACATGATTTTTTCTACATTTCTTGATTAAAATAAACTCCAACTTATTAGGATTTCTAAATGTGAAAAAAAGTTGCTAGTATTAGTTAAAAGATATATATTTTTTTTTTCAATGCTATAATTTCAAAGATAACTTAAAAAAATTACACATGAGATTATGTAGAAGCAATACTTAGAAGTATTTACAACATCTATATACCTGCATTTTTATTTGTAAAAAATAATTATTTGATTTTAAAGTTATTAGCTAGATATTTGTGTATTTTTTATTGCATCCTAATACACTGTATAAATCACTTAGAAATTTGTGAAATAAATAATTAAACATATATAAAATAAATAGTTTCTCTCAAAAATCATGAAGATTTTGATGACTTATTGATTTATCATAGATAATTTAATATCCAAATTGTAAAACTTTCTAAAGCATTTCAAAATTTATTTCAATTTATTTATTTAATTGAATCCACAGATTGATCAAAATTCAACATGATAAGAAAAAAATTAACTACGAAAGAAATAAACAAAATACATCTCCAATAACTTTTCTTTTTTGGTCTGTTAATAGCATCTATTAAATATATTGTTCGTTGTGTATCACAATCATGCCTGTTCATCT